TTCCTTCACACTGACGGCCTTTGGCTGCCCAAATGCAGTCACTCCTTTCTGCCAATCATTAACATCTGCTTTGCGACCCATTTTTCCACACACTGAAAGAAACATTCACTCTGCTCTGTACCACCTCTTCTCAATCTATGAATCTCGTCGCACACCCTGCAGGTATTTATAGCCTGATCATCCTCGTGCAACGCCATCTGCAGGAGACTGAAGATACTACCACCTACAACATGCAAGGTGACTATTTTTTTGTCCAGGGAGATAATATTACTCATTCTACAGTAGAAGTGATCGCATCAAACTCTGATGTAACATTTGGAGTTATGCAGTGACCACTGTGACCAGGCCTTGTTGGCTGCTGTTCGGCTCATTCCAGAAAGAAAACAACCATTTTACAACCTCATTTTGGAAATGAACTCAGCTGTCTCTGTGCCTTAAACATCTTGAGGCAATTTTTATGCCAAGACGTCTCAAGAAATCAAGACATATGAGTGAAGACACTGTAAGACAAGTAAGTAATTATTTGTGTCTTAAAGATGAGGCATGACTTAAGACATCAATGTGTTTAGGTTTTGTGAAAACATAGTAATAGAAAATGTGAAATAATTTATAAGTTATATTGTATTTTTAATTTTATTATTATTATTATTATTATTATTATTATAAGGTTGATCAAAATGACAGTTGATAACCAATAAAGTGACAGTAAAAACATTAACTGTAAAAAAACAGTAATTGTCTGTTTTTATTAATGGTAATTATCATAAAAATGATTTTTTAAAGCACTGAATTTGATTTCAATTTTGCAGCAATACTGTATTAAAACATAAATAGTATGCATTCATCATCTTGAGACATCTTGGGAGATTATTACGGTGAAAACAACAGTGCCTATAGATGTGCCTTATAGACATGATTACGCCTCCAGATGTCTTAATGTCTTCATAAGTGTGTCTTCAGACGTGTCTTAAGATATCTCAGGACCTGGTGACAGCTGGGCATGTCAGTGCAGGTCACGCGCATCTATTTTTATATTTGTGTAGGTAACAACTTCTAGCACATAAGGCTGTAGATCAGAACAGACGGGTGCTGATATTCATAATAAGGTGCCGATATTCACTAATAAGGTCTACTGTGAAATTCTGATGAACTATTTGCAGTTTGAATAGAGACCTGAGTAGCTCTGGTTTCTCACGTTCCCACTACACTGTCACATCGTGATCTCATGCTTTATATGATTAAAATTGGTCTGACTGACTTATTTGTAAAACTTACTTTTCTTCATTTTCTTTTTCTTATTATAAGTCTATGGTCAAAAATTTACAATGATTATCCTACAGCTTTTGAGCTAGAACCTTAAATCTCTGCAGGATCGTAGAGGCTATACTCGAATATGTTGCTTGTGGTTTTTTTAACTGATTTACCTTTGTAAAGTGTTCATTCAAATGAAGTTTTATTTTTCCATAGAAATCAATGGGGGATCGGACAACATCCTGAAACTTGTACAATATATAATTCTTATATCTCTACCTTGAATTCCACCATAGTCAGTATTCACCCTGTAGACAAATGTTTTTGGGAAGTCCTCTTATTTCACCATCATATAAGTATTCAAGCAACACCTTAGGAACCACCTGGGATACCATAGCAACAGTAAAGCAACGCCTTAGCTACCATCTGGGATACCACAGCAACAGTAGAGCAACACTTTAGCAACCAACTGGTATACTATGAGAGCAGCCTAGCAACACATTAGTAAACAACCTGGAATAACATAGCAATGGCTTAGCAACACCTTAGAAACAGCCTTGCAACACCTAAGCAACCACCTAGGATACCATAGCAATGGCCTAGCAACACCTTTGCAACCACCTGGGACACCACAGAAACAGCCTTGCAACACCTTAGTAAACAACATGGAATAAAATAGCAATTGCTTAGCCACCACCTGCGATACCATAGCAATGGTCAAGCAACACCTTAGCAAACACCAGGGATACAATAGCAATGGCTTAGCAACACCTTAGCAACCACCTGGGATATCACAGCAACAACCTAGCAACATCTTGGCAACCACCTGGGATACGACAGCAACAGCCTTGCAACATCTTAGCAAACAACCTGGACTTACATAGCAATTGCTTAGCAACACCTAAGCAACCTCCTGGGATACCATAGCAATGGCCAAGCAACAACTTTGCAACAACCTGGGGCACCACAGCAACAGCCTTGCAACACCTTAGTAAACAACATGGAATAAAATAGCCATTGCTTAGCAACACCTAAGCAACCACATGGGATACCATAGCAATGGCCTAGCAAGACCTTAGTAAACACCCTGGAATGACAGCAATGGGTTAGCAACACCTTAGCAACCACCTGGGATAGCAACCACCTAACAACCACCAAGCAACACTATAACAACAAGCTGGAACGCCATAGCAACCTCATAGCAACACCACAGCAACTATATGGAATTACAATATAAACCCAATTATGTTATCAAAAACAATAATCAGGGTTCAGCAACTGCTTTAACTTCAGAGGCTCTATTAACTGGCCTTGTCAAACCAACCTCACAGTTCTAGTCTTATACTTGTAGTGTTTTTTCCTTAATACAATATCGTGATAATACTGATAAAATATTGGGCAGTGGCCAGGATATTCAATTTTTATATCTACACATTTCTAGATCAAAATGTCTTTAAGACTAAGAAAAATAAACAGTCAGTCAGGTGTGTCTAAACTTTTAAACAGTGGTGAACGTTCAAACTGAAAACAATCAAAAGCTCAAGTAAACGGAAATCAGTCGAGTTAGTATTCAGGGATTCGTGAGCGTGAAGGCGATGAGCCTGTGCAGAGCTTTCAAGTGAAACTCATTTTTACATAGCGGCTTCCCACTGATCCTCTGAGTAAATCCAACGATGAGGCAGAACAAATGAACAATTACTAAGAGAAATGAGAGGAAAATAAAGATGTAATTAGCGGTGGAGGTCATCGGCTGCACGGCGGCAGGAGAAGAAACAAAAGAGAGCAGCTTCAGTTCAGTGATAAAGCAGCGCTGAGATGGAAATCTGAGGTACAGCCTCAGAGTGAGAGGTGTGTGTGGAGAGGGCGAGGGAGCACACACACACACACACACACACACACACACACACACACACACACACGCACACACACACACACACACACACACACACACTCAGAGCAGCTGAAGGACGAAGCAGAAAAACCTCCATGCAAACACGCAGCCACTCTGTTTGACAAGCACCAACACCAACTTTGGATATGTAAACCATGAGCAGCCGCACTGCCCCCCCCGCCGTCTCTCTCTCTCTCTTCCCCCTTCCTCTCCCTCTCTCTCTCCCTTTCTCTCTCTTTCTCTCCTGTTCCTCTCTCTCTCTGTCTCTCCCCCTTCCTCTCTCTCTTTCTTTCTCTCTCTCTCTCTCTCTCTCTCGCTCCCTCTTCCTCTCTCTCTCTCTCGGTCTCTCTCCCCTTCCTCTCTCTCTCTCTTTCTCTCTCTCTCTCTCGGTGGGCCTGCTCTCCACTCTTTAGCTCTCACTGGGCTGTGTGTGTTGATAAGGGTGGCGCCCCCTTCAGCCCCCCGCTGAGGCTGATTAACATTCACACACACTGCTGAGAACAATTAGCACACACACTCCTATCTCCATCACACACACATACACACACACACACACACACACACACACACACACACACCTCTCCATCACACACACACACACACACCTCTCCACACACACACTCCTATCTCCATCACACACACACACACACACCTCTCCATCACACACACACTCCTATCTCCATCACACACACACACACACACACACACACCTCTCCATCACACACACACTCTTATCTCCATCACACACACACACACACACACACACACACACACACACACACACCTTTCCATCACACACACACTCCTATCTCCATCACACACACACACACACACACACACACCTCTCCATCACACACACACTCCTATCTCCATCACACACACACACACACACACCTCTCCATCACACACACACTCCTATCTCCATCACACACACACACACACTAACGTCACCATCACATACACACTCCTTTCTCGATCTCTCTCACACAGACACACACACACACACACTCCTATCTCCATCACACACACACACACACACACACACACACACACACCTCTCCATCACATACACACTCCTTTCTTGATCTCTCTCACACAGACACACCGTCACACACACACACACACACACTCACACACAGCTGAGAAAATTAGCATAAACATTTCTCCATCACACACACACACACACACACACACACACAGACAGACACACACACACACCTCCATCACATATACACTCCTATCTCCATCACACACACACACAAAGAGTCGCTCTGCACAAACACACTAACTCTCCCTTCTAACACTAGAAGGGAATATTTTAAAGAAGAAAGAAAAGAGAAATGACAGAAAACAGAAAAAAGAAAGACAGAATACGGGTCAGAAAGAGATAAGAGAGAGAAAGAAAAGAAAACATGCCTCAGAGTTAACACAGAACCAGATCTCTGACAGATATTTGAGAGAGAGAGAATAAAAGAACCACACAAACACATAAATAAGCTCCGTCAGTGGGGACGTGCAGCTGCAGCGCTGAAGCCTCACTGGAGGCCGATATGTTAGTGACCCTTCACACAAACACATGCTGAGTGTACACTTCCTCCTCCTGCTGCTGCTGCTGCTGCTGCTGAGGCTGGAGATGAATAGTGAAACTCAGCGCCGGTGCTTTTTTGTTGCTGTGAATAATAGAAACGATATGACAAAGACATTAAATCACAAAACCTGGATCTGAACCAAAGCAGCAGCAGCGCAGGAGCTTCCTGAGCTCAGAACACGAAGATATCAGCTCAGATACAGCAGAGGACTCAGAGCTCCACACACACACAGATGGAGTCTACAGCGATACAGCGAGAGGCCGGAGTACCTGCCGCTCTCTCGGAGAGCCTCGTTTCCTTTCCTCCAGGAGATCAGTCCCCAGGGAGACATCTTGGGCCTGCATTCGATCAGCACATCACCGCCTTCCTTCACCAGAGTGTGAGGCTTCAGCAGGTTCGCCCCGAAATCTGGAGCCACAGCTGAAACCAGACGAAGGGTTTCGATGAGATGCAGTGCAAATCCTACAAATTACACTCATCACTCTCTTATACTGGAGCTGCAGACACGTTAGTCTCAGCTAGAGCAGCACAGAGCACTGTTAGTTAATCACCATCGCAATCTGCAAGAACTACAGTACAGAAGGCTGTAAAAGAGGACAAATCTCACAAAGCAGTAAACTGAAAAGGGATTTAGGGCTATTTGAGCTCTCTGAGTAAAGGAGCACTCCACCGAATTTTCAAAAATGTAGAATTATTAAATCAGGTTATGAAGAAAGAAAGAAAGAAAGAAAGAAAGAAGACAGGGCAGGGCCAAAGAAAGAAAGAAAAAAGACAGGTATGACATATTAAAACTCAAAAGACACATGCAGGTTCTCAGGTGGTTTTTGACACACAACAAAAAAAAAAATAAAGAAATTTGAGGTGGTATGTGTTTCTAATAAAGTGGCCAGTGAGTGTAAGTACAGAATGGGTGTTTCTAAAAAAGAGGCCAGTGAGTGGAAGTACAAGGTGTTTCCAATAAAGTGGCCAGTGAGTGGAAGTACAAGGTAGATGTTTCTAATAAAGTGGCCAGTGATTGGAAGTACAAGGTAGATGTTTCTAATAAAGTGGCCAGTGAGTGGAAGTACAAGGTAGATGTTTCTAATAAAGTGGCCAGTGAGTGGAAGTACAAGGTAGATGTTTCTAATAAAGTGGCCAGTGATTGGAAGTACAAGGTAGATGTTTCTAATAAAGTGGCCAGTGAGTGGAAGTACAAGGTAGATGTTTCTAATAAAGTGGCCAGTGAGTGGAAGTGCAAGGTAGGTGTTTCTAATAAAGTGGCCAGTGAGTGGAAGTACAAGGTAGATGTTTCTAATAAAGTGGCCAGTGAGTGGAAGTACAAGGTAGATGTTTCTAATAAAGTGGCCAGTGATTGGAAGTACAAGGTAGATGTTTCTAATAAAGTGGCCAGTGATTGGAAGTACAAGGTAGATGTTTCTAATAAAGTGGCCAGTGATTGGAAGTACAAGGTAGATGTTTCTAATAAAGTGGCCAGTGAGTGGAAGTACAAGGTAGATGTTTCTAATAAAGTGGCCAGTGAGTGGAAGTACAAGGTAGATGTTTCTAATAAAGTGGCCAGTGAGTGGAAGTACAAGGTAGATGTTTCTAATAAAGTGGCCAGTGATTGGAAGTACAAGGTAGATGTTTCTAATAAAGTGGCCAGTGAGTGGAAGTACAAGGTAGGTGTTTCTAATAAAGTGGCCAGTGATTGGAAGTGCAAGGTAGGTGTTTCTAATAAAGTGGGCAGTGAGCGGAAGTAGAAGATATGTGTTTCCAATAAAGTGGCCAGGGAGTGGATGTAGAATTATAGTTATGTGATTGATGGGACTCAGTGTTTATGCTGAGCTCGTCTTCACTGTGCTGTACGTCTAAATGAAGTGAGAGTGTGTGCAGGTGAGCTGAGATGGCAGAGGTTGAGCTAAATATACGCACCTTAATTACCACACATTCATTTTCTTTGGTAAGAAAAACAATGGTAAAATGTCACGTCCTTTTACCTCCCCTCCTCTCTTTTCCTACTCAAATTAGTTTTTATTATGATCGTTTCCTCGACTCCGAGAGCTTCTCGTCATCCTTTTTAAAAACCTGCTTCATTTACTGTGAAGAACCGATCTGTCAATTACGTCCCACCCACTTTTCCTTTTGCCATAACCCCGTCACTCTCGCTGTGGAATCTTTCCGTAGCGCTGAATGACAAAAACAGTAATCAGGGAAAGAAAGAGGAGGGAGGAGGATGAATGGATAAAAAACAGAGGGATGAGACGGCTCGGGAGAAGATGAGTGGGTACTGCCGTGTGCGAGCATCTGGGCACATCCGCCGTGAGCTTAATTATGTTTTCTAACAGGGAGGCCGCCGCAAACGCAACAATACATTAGATTAGACGTCCTTTAATGAGGTGGGAATTCATGAGAGGAAAGAATGTCACCTTCCTGTAATGATGAGGGACCATAAATATGATGATGACATTAAAATAACACAACACAAACACGCACAAACACAAGTTCTTTGCTCCCACCTGGCACAAATTGAATTACATACCAGCACATCTTCAGCAGTTGTACATCCAAAGCAATATTCTACTCTGTGATGTATAATATACCTGTCTAGCGGGCGTCTTTTACCCTGTGTAACCATTTAATCATGAAAAGCCTTCTAGACGGTTAGAAAGACAAACATTTTAGGTCGATGCTTTAAAGTTAAAGTTAGCTTTTCATGTTTATCGTTAACATTAATGCTAATTTAAGACCGTTTTTTCTTCTTCTATACACTGCAAAAATGGCATCTTGTCAAGTGAAATGATCTTAAATCTAGTCGAAATATCTAATATTTCCCATTTTGAGATGACTGTGAACTTATTGTAAGATTATCTAGCTTATTTCTAGACACTTTACGCTTGTTTTAGGTAATTTTATCACGTAAAGGCCAGTGAGTGGAAGTACAAGGTAAGTGTTTCCAGTAAAGTGGCCAGTGAGTGGAAGTACAAGGTAGGTGTTTCCAATAAAGTGGCCAGTGAGGGTATGTGCAAGGTGTTTCCAGTAAAGGGGCCAGTGAGTGAAGTACAAGGTAGGTGTTTCCATAAAGTGGCCAGTGAGTGGAAGTACAAGGTAGGTGTTTCCAATAAAGTGGCCGTGAGGGATGTGCAAGGTAGTTTCCAGTAAAGAGGGCCAGTGAATGAAAGTACAAGGTTGGTGTTTCTTATAAAGTGGCCAGTGAGTGGAAGTACAAGGTAAGTGTTTCCAATAAAGTGGCCGGTGAGTCAGTGCAAAAGTGCAGTGAGGGAATAGGTGTTTCTAATAAAGTGGCCAGTGAGGGTATGTGCAAGGTGTTTCCAGTAAAGGGGCCAGTGAATGAAAGTACAAAGTTGGTGTTTCTTATAAAGTGGCCAGTGAGTGGAAATACAAGGTAAGTGTTTCCAATAAAGTGGCCAGTGAGTGGAAATACATAGTAGGTGTTTCCAGTAAAGTGGCCAGTGAGTGGAAGTACAAGGTAGGTGTTTCCAATAAAGTGGCCTGTGAGTGGAAGTACAAGGTAAGTGTTTCCAGTAAAGTGGCCAGTGAGTGGAAGTACAAGGTTGGTGTTTCCTATAAAGTGGCCAGTGAGTGGAAGTACAAGGTAAGTGTTTCCAATAAAGTGGCCAGTGAGGTTATGTGCAAGGTGTTTCCAGTAAAGGGGCCAGTGAATGAAAGTACAAGGTTGGTGTTTCTAATAAAGTGGCCAGTGAGTGGAAGTACAAGGTAAGTGTTTCTAATAAAGTGGCCAGTGAGTGAAATACAAGTGGTGTTTCCAGTAAAGTGGCCAGTGAGTGGAAAGTACAAGGTAGGTGTTTCTAATAAAGTGGCCAGTGAGTGAAGTACAAGGTAAGTGTTTCTAATAAAGTGGCCAGTGAGTGGAAATACATAGTAGGTGTTTCCAGTAAAGTGGCCAGTGAGTGGAAGTACAAGGTAGGTGTTTCTAATAAAGTGGCCAGTGAGGTTAGGTGCAAGGTGTTTCCAGTAAAGGGGCCAGTGAATGAAAGTACAAGGTTGGTGTTTCTTATAAAGTGGCCAGTGAGTGGAAGTACAAGGTAAGTGTTTCTAATAAAGTGGCCAGTGAGTGGAAATACATAGTAGGTGTTTCCAGTAAAGTGGCCAGTGAGCGGAAGTAGAACGTGTTTCTAATAAAGCGGCCAGTGAGTGGAAATACATAGTAGGTGTTTCTAATAAACTGGCCAGTGAGCAGAAGTAGAAGGTGTTTCCAATAAAGCGGCCAGGGAGGGGATGTAGAATTATAGTTATGTGAATGATGGGATTGAATGTTAATGCTGAGCTCATCTAATTTTATCAAGTAAAACCTTCTCACTATAGTGGCAGATCATTTCAAGCACATTTATAAAAGCAAGCAAAGTTATCTGCCAATACTGTGAGAAAATTTTACTTCATAAAATCACTTAAAACAAGCAAACAATGTCTAGAAATAAGTTAATCTTAAATTAAGCTCACAACAATCTCAACAGGAGAGTATTACATTTATTGACTATATTTAAGATAATTTGACTTGACAAGACACTTAATGTTGTTCACAGAGGTGGTGATAGGAACCAGACGTCCACCTCTAAAAGCTCCCTCACAGAAAGTTACTACATGAAATTGTTATGAATTCATAGCCTGATGACTGAGACACTGTTTTGCAATAATTTTGAGAAGATTTTAGTCTAAAGTGTATCTTTCCAGTCCGGTCATGGGGACGCATGCAGGGTGTTATGAGGCAAAATAGTCTATAATAGTCAATATTTCACTATTTTCCATCATCAACATTCCATATAAGCTCAGAAGACTCACTGATAAGCTCAGTGTAGGTTCACTGGTGGTTTTGGATAGTAAATAAAATGTCTATATTTGTGTTGTAGTCATGGCGACCCCTGGTTCCTATCACCACCTAAAGAAATCTGAGTCTCTACAATCAACCATTTCACACCAAACCACTCTGAATGACTCTGTTTACATCTCAACAAATGAATTATGCAGGGATTTTGGAAAATCAGTGGGATTCCCCTTTAAAAACTGCATGTTTTATTACAAAGGCTGAACCATTTCACACCAAACCTCTCTGAATAACTGAGAATCTGTAAAATTTTTACAGCAATCAGACAGATATTTTTTCCAGATTCACCCCAAAGACTGTTGTGAGTTTGGGTCACAGAAATCACCCATGTATTATTTTAATCTCCTCTTGTTGAGAGTAATACAGGAGCATTTCAAAGCAGATAAACAGCTCACAGTGAGAGCTAACCAGGCTAAAGTACAGCCTCCACATGACAGGGTTGGTTTAACATGCTGCAACAAGTAAAAGAGTTTGATTTTTTGGAATTTTTTGTTCACAAACTCATCAAAAATATTCAACCCACGCTTAAAAATAGAAATACCAAGAAGGGTTCTTTGGACTGATGCCCTGAAAGAACCATCTTTGGTTGTCTTGGTTGTCCAATTAATGTTTTAAGGGAACCATTTCTGCAAAGGGGTGTCTAAACTAAAGTTTCAAGAATCTTTATGTAATGTAAAGGTTCTTGAAAAAACTCTTAGTGGAGCTTCTTTAAACTTTTAAAAGGTTCCTCACAAAAAGCTTTTTCAAACATGATTCTTTAGGAAACGTGGTTAGAGTAAAGAACCCTTCCTAAGAGTGTAGATATAAAATAAAAATACTGATATTTATTGTCATACTTTGCATTAAAACAAACTTTCCATACACTCGTTTCTCTAATCTGTTCATTGACCAGTTCTAACTTTCAACAAAGTTAATGTTACAAGGTTCAATTTAAAGGAGAAGTTGGGTGAAAAATCAAATTTACCCAATTTTCAACTTACCCAGATGTAGTTGATCAGCCAAGATATGTTTAGTGTCCAGATTTTGCTTCATTAGTTTACAACTAGAGCTACAAGGCTAATGTGGATATGAGGCTAATCATTCTTTGGAGTAAGTTTGAACCATTGAACCATTTGTCGGAACAAAACCTCGTATCTCCATTTTTTAGTTTTTGCCATAATTTGTAAAAAGTCTGGTTCCATTGACGTACATTAAACGTAAAGTATGTTTTTCACTTTTCCTGTAAAGTAATATATACACTGATCAATTCTCAGCACTGCAGTAACACTGACGTGGTGGTGTGTTAGTGTGTGTTGTGCTGGTGCGAGTGGATCAGACACAGCAGTGCTGCTGGAGTTTTTAAACACTGTGTCCACTCACTGTCCACTCTATTAGACACTCCTACCTTGTCAGTCCACCTTGTAGATGTAAAGTCAGAGACGATCGCTCATCTGCTGCTGCACAGTTTGTGTCGGTCATCCTCTAGTCCTTCATCAGTGGTCAGTGGACGCTGCTGGCTGGATATTTTTGGTTAGTGGACTATTCTCAGTCCAGCAGCGACACTGAGGTGTTTAAAAAACCCAGCTCCAGATCCACTCAGACCAGCGCAACACACACTAACACACCACCACCACGTCAGCGTTACTGCAGTGCTGAGAATGAACCACCACCCAAATAGTACCTGCTCTGTGAGGGTCCATGGGGGTCCTGACCACTGAAGAACAGGGTAAAAGGGGGCTAACAAAGTATGCAGAGAAACAGATGGACTACAGTCTGTAACTGTAGAACTACAAAGTGCACCTATATAGTAAGTGGAGCTGATAAAATGGACAATGAGCGTAGAAACAAGGAGGTGGTCAGAATGTTATGCCTGATCGGTGTATATATATATATATATATATATATATATATATATATATTAGGGACAGTGTGAGAGACCCCAAAATCAAAAGTACACTGTTCCTCTACTACTGAACTGGACTACTACGGTGAGTAAATGCTACCAAAAAATAGAACAATAATAGAATAATAATAATAATTAGAAGAATATAACAAAGAACAATGTCAAGCCAACTAAATTAAAAACAACAAAAATGGAGGTTTTGTTCCAACAGAGATGAGATATTTGTTTATATTTAGGCTGGAAAGCCCAAATAACATAGAACTGTGTTGAGTTAATTGTTCTTGCATCACTTTATCAGACGTTTTATCAGCTGTTAGCAGTTCCTGGATAGGTAAAGTGAGCAGAGGCCCAGCAGCTTACCGATCACTCTGAGCTCAGCGTTGGAGTACACCTCCCCGTATTTGTTCCCGGCCACACATTGGTATATTCCAGCGTCGGACAGCGCCAAGTGGCTGATGGACAGGGCTCCATTAACCACCTGCACCCTCTCCTGCAGAGTACAAAGACAAATATCTCCGTTAAGGGTCTTTTACCGAGATTGCTAATCTGCATAAAAGCGTTCGCCGTCCGGGAGCGTGAATTATGTCTGCAGGCTGATGGACGCGGCCGTCCATAAATCTGGGCATTCGTTGCTAATGGGGGGGTGGGAGTGGTAGGGGGAGGTGGGAAGGTGGAGGGCAGGCCGGTGGAAAAAACGACAGTAATAAATCTGTATGTTTATGATGTGGAAATACAGCCGTTCGCTGTTTGTTTCCCAAGCAAAGCTGAAGCTTTGACTCTGTTTCAATAAGAGAGAGAGTGAGAGAGGAAGAGAGAGAGAGGGAAAGGGAGGAGGAGAGTAGAAGGTAAGCCTGGCTTAAATCTTTAAGCTGACAGTTTTATGACACCTCTAATATGCTCTGAACTGTTGGGCTATCTCAAGGATGTGTCCCCCATATCAGTCCTGCCCACACGTGTCTGACGAGCGTCTGTCTCAGGAATAATTAGAGATGAATAAATCAAATTCTGGAGCCCAAAATACGACAGGAACACACAAAAATCATGATACAGATTTGGTAATCCATGGATGTATTTAGCTCTCAGCTGGGACTGCCTGGAACAGGCCTAAAAACACAAAAACGCACTAGAAACATTCTCTTTCTGTCTCCCAATTACGGTCCTAACATCTCTTTCACACCTAAGACCTCAGGTTCTGCAAACATCATTTATCCAAATGGATAAAACAGTCAAAAACAGTCACTTTACACAATAAAAATATCATTTGTAAAAGAGCACGGTACATTTGTTTACCTTCAGCAGCTTTATGCAAGAAATGCTCAGCTACTATTTTGTTTGATGACGCTCATGAATTGATCAGTTTGTGTTTTTCGAAGCTTTTATTTGGTTTTCTGACTCATTTTCATTTATTTTATAGCTTTTTTTTTCACTGTATCATGCTGTGTGGCACCATGCCTTTTGTCTAAAAACCACTAAAAGGGCCATATTAAAAAAGCTCCCCAAATCCGGGGGCCAGCTGTGTTTTTGTGTCATGGTTACTTAACGTTTTACCATAACCTGAACAGGCCATTGTTTATCAAAATATGCCAAAGCTGCAACAGCAAAATAGGCACTGAATACTCAAAAATAATTCTAAATAAAACTAAATTGTTTAGGCATTTAAAAAACTGCCTATTTGTTTGAACTAGACACCAGGCATCCGTTCTTTCCGTGTAACCAGCCCACAGATTGTTTTTGGTGGGGGGTCAGAAAGCACACTTTGTTGCATTGCATGCTGGGGACTGTAGTGCATCTCAGGGTGAAACGAGATCCTAAGAATTGAAAATTAAAGTAATTTAGTGGGCTGAATAGGTCTGTGTCACGGGCCTTGTGTTTGACACATGGGGTCTAAATGCAGCACCTGGGCCGCGTCTGGGACGCTCTGTGACGCCTCTGACCTGTTAACAACTAACTATCAACTTCTAACTATACAACACACACTACAGCTCAGAAGTGTGGAATCACCACTCAAACAGTTGGAATCAAATTAATGTCCAAAATGGTAACTTTAAAGGAGAAGCCTGTAATGGAAGTCAATGTGACAAGATTTTTTGCTATTGGTTGAGTTTTGTTGATTCTCACAACTTCAAAGGTTTCAAAAACTCTGTAAGGTCCACATGTATCCACTCAGCCCTTCTAATGAGTTAATTCAACTACTTTAATGTGCACACGCTGCTGACACAGGCATTCAGGTATGCGTCTAGTGCAAAGCCTTCCCAGAAGAGTAGAGGCTGTTACAGTTGCAGTGTATCCAGTAGCAGTATATGTGGTTAGTATAGTGCAGTGGGTAATACCTCTGCCAATTATGCTGTAGACTGGGGTTCAATCCCTGCCTGGGTGAACACCCTACACTATACCAATAAGAGTCCTTGGGCAAGACTCCTAACACCCTGGATAAGAGCGTCTGCCAAATGCCATAAACGTACACCGATCAGGCATAACATTATGACCGCCTCCTTGTTTCTACGCTCATTGTCCATTTTATCAGCTCCACTTACTATATAGGTGCACTTTGTAGTTCTACAGTTACAGACTGTAGTCCATCTGTTTCTCTGCATACTTTGTTAGCCCCCTTTTACCCTGTTCTTCAGTGGTCAGGACCGCCATGGACCCTCACAGAGCAGGTACTATTTGGGTGGTGGAAACACTCACTGTCCACTCTATTAGACACTCCTACCTTGTCAGTCCACCTTGTAGATGTAAAGTCAGAGACGATAGCTCATCTGCTGCTGCACAGTTTGTGTCGGTCATCCTCTAGTCCTTCATCAGTGGTCACAGGATGCTGCCCACAGGACGCTGTTGGCTGGATATTTTTGGTTGGTGGACTATTCTCAGTCCAGCAGTGACACTGAGGTGTTTAAAAACTCCAGGAGCACTGCTGTGTCTGATCCACTCAGACCAGCGCAACACACACTAACACACCACCACCACGTCAGTGTTACTGCAGTGCTGAGAATGATCCACCACCCAAATAGTACCTGCTCTGTGAGGGTCCATGGGGGTCCTGACCACTGAAGAACAGGGTAAAAGGGGGCCAACAAAGTATCAGAGATACAGATGGACTACAGTCTGTAACTGTAGAACTACAAAGTGCACCTATATAGTAAGTGGAGCTGATAAAATGGACAATGAGTGTAGAAACGAGGAGGTGGTCATCATGTTATGCCTGATCGGTGTAAATGTAGCAGTAACAAAGCAAAGGGACAATAAACTCACTATTAATACCCTTCATTTAAAAAAAAGGATGGTGTCAAACTTTTGGACATTTAGTACCATTTGTAGGAAAAAAAAGAAAATTCTTATGCATCCAGAATGAGAATGAATGGAGCTACAGATAAAAGTGAAAGATAAAGGTATGTAATTATAATGAGCTCATAGAAAAATTAAAACGTGACTGTCAGTTAGATCTGAATGTTAGACCACATTCTTCACGTCAAATAAATGCAACTCACATTATTAACTGAGAGAAGATTAAACAGCACAACCTTTCTTTGTGTTGATATTCACTCAGAGTGGATAGTGGTGACTGAGGCAGATATATTAATGAAAAAATACTATAAATAGATACTAGTCATTTAGAAACAGTAATATTATATAGTAATATTATTTCTCATTTACAATGTGAAAAACTGTAACTTTTTTAAAAGTGTAAGACTTTCTTCCTTTCTTTCTTTCATTTACAATGAAGTTATAAGGACTGTTTTAGCCTAGATTGCTTTTTGAATGAGGCACAGCCAATCAGAACAGAACTCATGTACATACATCACTCAGGCACAGCAACAGCAACAGCCTGTTGACTTTAAGAGGGGATAAAGAGAGGATGGGAAATAGTCATGTAAAAATGAACTATGAAAGTTTTAGGCACAAAACCGACGCAAACCTCAAAAGCGGACCTCAGGGAGAAAAATGAAAAAGTCAGTAATGTGTGGTACGTAAGACACTTTTTCTCTGTGGTGTTTCAAAAACTGTACACTGAATAAACCACCTAACAAGTCCTGAAGTTTGTTTTTTTATTTATATTATTGAACTACACTGTATGTTACTTTTAATAAATTAAAACATTGTTTAAAACATTATGAGCAATAAAACATTAATATGTATCCTTGAGTCCAAGTTGCACTTATTTTTTTGTTCTGTCTGTATAACACACCAGAAACAGCAGGCGAGTCTTCTCCACTCCTGTGCTAGACAAGTAACATTTCGCTGCTCTCGGAACAAAACCTCATATCTCCATTTTTGTCGTTTCTCGGTTTTTGGCGTAAATTGAAAATGTCTGTTGACCTTTACATTGCGTGTAAATTTCATGATGAATGGACCAAAAAAAATGACCCAAAATGACTTGGAAAAAAGTCTGGTTCCATTGACTTACATTGAAAGTAAGGTAGGTTTTTTCCTTCCCCTGTAAAGTTACTATTTGGGAGATATGAGGTTTTGTTCCGACAACAGCTATATGTGTGTGTGTGTGTATATATATATATACACACACACACATATAGCTGTCTGTCTATCTATCTATCTATCTATCTATCTACGAATATCACAGTGGTGTGCAAGTTCAGGTTTGTGAGCCATCACAGTTTGTAGTGCACCACAAACAAAAAAGAAGCTTAGGTAACCAAACGGCCCCGGAGAGCATGTAACCATCATGTATAATCTCCTACAGCCAGACTTAATACGCTAATGATATGTCCAGAGCTGTTATAATCAACATTTACAAAATATAATATATAATTTTTCATATGTTACCATCTGATGCACTTTAATAGTGGAAATAATTGTGAGAGAGAAAATATATATACAAGTCATGCTTGAAATGCTGCATTTTTTTATACAGGCAGGAAAAATAAACTTTCAATTTATTTTCCATCTTACCATTTAGGGCTTCTGTAAACAAGCAGTAGCGCTAATTGGTTTCATAGACATTGATGAATTATTGTAGTTGCTTATAATAAGTTTTAATATTAATAGCTAAGTAATAAGCCTGGATGAAAGAGTTAAGTCCATCTCTCTCAGCCCTTGATCTCCTCTGTTCTTTGCAGTCTCGATCACTAGCTTTATTAGCGCATGTTTCTGCTAATGCACTACCCAGGCCTGTGGTTGGAGAGGACCGGGGGGAGGTGGGGGGAGCGGCACTCGAAGCGGGCAAAGTCTGCCCTCGCCAAGACCTCTGCGGCTAATCCGGTGGGTTTGAGTGGTGCTCTCGTTGGCTGTGCTCGTGTGGGTCGGGGTAACATCAGTGAGGGGAGAGCGAGGGAGGACGAGGCCGCTGGCGTGGAAAAGCACACAGCGGCGTATATCAGTCTGGAGCGGCCTCGGCTAGCGCTATTAATTAAGCGTGACGGTCCACTTAAATCAGCAGTTTTGCATGGAGGAGGACCTGAGGGGGGACCATCTGCACGCCTTATGCTGAATTAAAGTGATCGGCAATGTTGGCGCTCGCAGCGTCGGGTCACT